TCTCTCTTCTCTCTCTCTCTCTCTTCTCTCTCTCTCTCTCTCTCTCTCTCTCTATATATATATATATATATATATATAATATATATATCTGCGTTTTCTTAGCTATATGTCTTTATCTATCTGTTTGTCTCTATTTATATTTCTATATCTATTCATCTATCTATCTATACATACATACATTCACATATGTATGTATAATAATATTCAACTATCTGTATCTATCTATTTATCTATATCTATCTATATCTACATACACCAGCAAGTTATAGGGACAATAAACAACAAAGAACAATAAAACAAAATAATAATAACAATACTTACCGATTTCTTTTCTTTCTATAGGCTTACGGAAATAAACACTACGGTTTTGGATACGGCAGAGAGCCGTTCATCCGGGCCGGCTGCCGTATTAATACGTGTACGACAACGGCAGTTCGGGCTAAATATCCCTTAAAGAAATTGGATGCTGTTATCTGGCATTTTAGATCCAACGACAAGAGCCTGCCAGCTGAGAGGTGAGACATGTTCAAGACGTGTTTTTTTTTTTGTTTTTGTTGGCGTGGAAAGGAGTGTCCATCTACATACACGAACACACAAAACAAACAAACAAACACAATAATACACAGAGAAACACTCTCTATATCTCTCTCTCAGCTGAGAGGTGAGACGTGTTTGAGACGTGTTTTTTTTTTGGGGGGGGTGTTGGCGTGGAAAGGAGTGTACATCCACATACACAAATACACAAAACAAACAAACAAACACAATGATATACAGGAAACACTCTCTCTTTTTCTATATTTCTCTCTCAGCTGACAGGTGAGACGTGTTTGGGGGGGAGGAATGTACATCCACATACACAAATACACACACAAAACAAACAAACAAACACAATAATATACAGGAAACACTCTCTCTTTCTTTCTCTCTCTCACACATACACACACAAAATACACACATACAAACACACACGCGGAACACACACACAAGCACACACACACACAAACATATCAGTATCATCATCATATTCTATTTATTTACCTATTCTATCTATTCATTATTAACTTTTCCACAATCCATCCATTCATCCACCCTTAATATATTTCTAACAATTCATTTATACATCTACCCATCAACTCTATATCCATGTACATACACTTACTTCTCACGCTTACATCTATTCATCAACTCTACACCCGCATATCTATCTGTCCATCGACACACCCATACACATACCTACCAATAATCTATATCAAAATCTATTTATCAACGACATAAACACATCTCTCGTATTTTTTTTTTTTCCAGGTCGCCTCACACCTTTTTTTTTTTTTTTTCAGGTCGCCTCACACCCGATATATTTTCTGGATGATGGAATCCGCATCGTACCTCTTCGGTGATATAAATCGGTATAATAACGTCTTTAATTGGACTTTTACGTACCGGCTCGATTCCGACATTCCGAATCCGTGAGTATCTGGAGTTGAGTGACATGGGCGTTTTCGGGTGAGGAAGTTGTGCGTGGATTGGTATGGGTGGGTAGGTGGTGGTAATAGGTGTGTGGATGTACGTGTGTAGATTGATAGAAAGGCTTGGATATATATATATATATATATATATATATATATATATATATATATATATATATATATATATATATATATATATATATATATATATATATATATATACTATATATATATACTATATATATATATATATATATATATATATATATATATATATATATATATATATATATATATATATCTATATATATATATATATATATATATATATATATATATATATATGTGTGTTGTGTGTGTGTGGTGTGTGTGTGTGTGTGTGTGTGTGTGTGTGTGTGTATGTACATACATATAAGTATATATAGAGACAACAGATAGATAAATAGACAGATAATAAATAGATAGATACAGGTTTTGATACAGATATATACATATATTTAGAGAGATGTAGAGATAGCCAGAAAGATAGACAGATAGATAAATAGATAGACGCATAGACAGACAGATAGATGAATAGATGAATAATTAGATAGATGGACAGATATGGATAGACAAGTAGATAGTTAGACTGATATATGGACTGACATATAGATAAACAGATAGATAGATATAGAAAGACAAGTAGATGGATAGACAGATAGATACATAGACAGAAAACTACTATGTACATATATTGATACAGACACACACACACACACACACACAACACACAATACACACACAGACACACACACACACACACACACACACACACACACACACACACACACACACACACACACACACACACACATATATAATATATATATATATATATATATATATATATATATATATATATATATATATATATAATATATAATTTCACTGTTGACTGTGAATGCTGTCCATGAAAATATGAAGAAAAAATATTTTTTTCAATGTTGAGCGTGAATGCTTTCCATATGAAAAATATATGCGTGGAAGCATATCTGAATAAATATGAAAATATGTTTAGAGATGCGCGTGAATATTAGAAAAGATATATTGGCAAGGATATGTATATTGTAGAATCTTCAAGAATGCAGTTTTGTGTATGATGATTTGGTCCAAGAATAAAAAAAAGAAAAGAAAAGAAAAAAAAGAAAGATAAGAATAAAAAAGTAAAGAAGAAAAGAAAGAAGAAAGAAAGAAAGGAAAAAAAATAGTTTGAGAATGATCTATATTCTATTCATCTATTTGTAAATATATCTAGTCAGTTATCTATTCATTTATGATTTTTATATTTGTTTGAATATCTGTCTAGTTATCAACTTTATCTATTATTTGTTTATTTGTTTGTTTCATTTTTTCTCTCTTTCTTCCTTCCTTTCTTTCTTTACATATTCATTTATTCACGTTTTTTTCTTTTAAATCTTTTTAATGTTTTAAGATAATTGTGTAGCTCTACCTTCACAATCAGCTTATCGGTATGATAAATATGTACATTATTATGAACAATATAATAACATGATGGAAGGATGACATATATATAATCATTTTTTCTTATTGGCACTGATGGTGATTATATTGTAATTCTTATAAGATATGGATATTATCTGTAAACTGAATTCATCACTGCTTGGGAAATATATTTTATGCATATTTTGATATTTATACAATTTTGATTATGATAATTAAGAGATACTGTTGCAGTGAAATACGTCAATTAACATTAAAACCAAAAACATTAAAAGAAATATTACTTTATGAAAAAAAAGAATATGCATATATTATGGAAAAGAAAACCTACTAAAATATAGAAAAAAAATATATATATATATATATATTATATATATATATATATATTTTAATTATCTATTTTTATTTTATTGTTATTATCTATTTATTTTTATTTTATTGTATTTTTTGCAGATACGGTCGTGTATATCGCCTCAGGGAACCCCATCCTCTATCAGATTACAATTATGCGGAGAATAAGACGAAATTAGTCGCTTGGTTTGTCTCCAACTGCAAGACACAGAGTGGACGAGAGAAGTAAGTTGTGTTGAAAGAGAGAGAGAGAGAGATAAAGGAAGGAGGAAGGAGGGAGGGAGGCAGAGAGGGAGGGAAGATAGGAGGGAAGAGAAGGAAAGAGAGATGGATAGATGAGACACACACATAAACACACACACACAACACACACACACACACACACACACAACACACACACACATATACTATATTAGACAGATAGATAGGACAGACAGACAGACAGACAGACAGAGACAGATAGATAAATAGATAGATAGATAGAGAGAAACAATCAGACTGAGAGAAAGAATATTTGGGTATGTCTTGTAGCAGAAAATTGACATTATCAAATTACATTCTGAAATATCTTTGATAGTTACTCATATCAAGTTTTATTATAATACTAAAATACATGATAGCTGATAGCTGGATACAGAACACACCACATAAATAACACAAAAAAAAAAATGAGGAATATAAACTGATATCTAAATAGAAAAAACAACACAAACACAACACACACACAGATACAACACACACACACACACACACACACACACACACAAAACACTCCCATCCACACACACACACATTAATCTCACTAATACCACTAGAATAAACACACAAAAACACACACACAAAACAAACACACACAAACACACAATGTGCACACACCATCACACTCATACAAGTATCCACACTAATACTCACTCTTTTATCCACCTACCCACTTATATCCTCCCTCCCTTACTTACCTACCACTTATTTACTTACAATTTGCCTTATCACCCTCATCACCACTTATATATGTGACTCATATTCCCTAACTGGCAACCCATCCAAGTAACATATACGTGAACTTAATCTTAATCAATACCACTTAAGAGAATATTGTAAGTGACTTTATATCGGATCTACTTACTAAAGACATGCGCTACCTACTTACGCACAGATACCCACTAATACACTGGTTAACTAGGAAAACTACCTACCGTTTTGCTTACTTACCCCAGGTACTTACTACTACTTGAAGTGAAACAGGAAGTAAGTAGTAAGTACCTGGGGTAAGTAGTTTTACTTACTTCATTTGTTTACTGTACTTGTTTTTGCCTGCCTGCTTATCTACTTACCCACCTACCTACTTACTCTTTTACTCACCTACCTCCTTACTTACCAGCCTCCCTACCTGTTTGTTCATTCACCTACTTACTCTTTTGTCCGCCTACTTACTCGCTCACTTATCTACCTACCTACTTCCACACTTACTCACCTACCAACTTCTCTACCTACCTACTAACCTAGCCACCTACTAACGCCTTTGCCCATGTACCTACCAACCTATTCCGTCACTTACCCACCTACCAACCAAACAATTTACCCATTTACCCACCTGTTTGCCAACATACGCCTTACCCACCTACCTACCAGTATACACCCACCTACCTACCGACCATATAACTTACCCACCAATATACCCACTTGTCCACCTACCTACCAACCAATATACCCACTTAAACACCTACCTACAATATACCCACATACCTACCAACAACTATACCTTCTTACCTACCCACCTACAACCAATAGACCCACCTACCCACCTACCTACCAACCAATATACCCACCTACTTACCCACCTACAACCAATATACCCACTTACCCACCTACCTACCAACCAATATACCCACCTACTTACCAACCCACTTACCCATCCCCACCAGCGTCGTGCGAGAACTGAAGAAGTGGATACAAGTGGATATATACGGCAGATGCGGCCCACTTAAGTGCCCAAAGTCTGCAGAATGTACTCAGATGCTGAACACTACTTACAAGTTCTATCTGTCTTTCGAGAACTCACTCTGCCAGGATTATGCCACGGAGAAGTTCTTCGGGACATTGAAGTAAGTGTTATTGTTGTTGTTGTTGTTGCTGTTGTTATTGTTGTTGTTGTTGTTATTATTGTTGTCATTATTGTTGCTGTTATTGATATTTTTGTTATTGTTATTATTTTCATTATTGTTGATGTTGTTATTCTTCTTATTGTTGTTATTTTCATTACTACTATTATTGTTGTTGTATTTTTTTATTAATGTTATCATTGTTGTCATTTTCATTACTATTATTATTATTGTTGTTGTTGTTTTTGTTGTTATTCTTATTATTGTTGTCATTATTATTGTCTTTATTATTATGAGTCTTATTGTTGTTGTTGTTATCATTATCATTATTGTTATCACTATTATCATTACAATTATTATTTTCATTATCATCATTACTATTACTTCACTGAATCTGAGATTTCGCTCATCTGGTCAATATCCTTATAAAGACAAAACTTTCCTCATTATCCTCACTGTACCTAAAAGTACCATTTCCTGTATCACCTGTAACCCGATCTTTGATTTTTACACGTGCTTTTCACACGCCAATCACAACAGGTGTTCTTGTGACTTTCTTCATTCCCCAAATCCGCCTTACTTCTTCCTTCAACAGCTGTTTTTTTTTTTTTAAATTTTTTCTCTTCCTTCAACAGCAGCTTTTTTTTTTCAAATCCTCTTACTTCTTCCTTCAACAGCTGTTGTTTTTTTTCAAATCCTCTATTTCTTCCTTCAAACAGCTGTTTCTTTTTTTTTTTTTGAAATCCTTCTCATTTCTTCGTTCAACAGCTGTTTTTTTTTTTTTTAATCCTTCTCATTTCTTCCTTCAACAGCTGCTGTTTTTTTTCAAATCCTCCTTATTTCTTTCTTCAAAATTGCTTTTTTTTTTAATCCTTCTCATTTCTTCCTTTCAACAGCTGCTTTTTTTTTTTCAAATCCTTCTCATTTCTTCTTCAACAGCTGTTTTTTTTAATCCTTCTCATTTCTTCCTTCAACATTCCTTCTCATTTCTTCGTTCAACAGCTGATGTTTTTTCAAATCCTTCTTATTTCTTCCTTCAACAGCTGCTGTTTTTTTTTTTTTTTTTTTTTAATCCTCATTTCTTCCTTCAACAGCTACTGTTTTTTTTTTTTTTTTTTTTTATCTTTCTCATTTCTTCCTTCAACAGCTGCTGTTTTTTTTCCAAATCCTTCTTATTTCTTCCTTCAACAGCTGCTGTTTTTTTTTTTAATCCTTCTCATTTCTTCCTTCAACAGCTTGTTTTTCAAATTTTATTTCTTCCTTCAACAGCTGCTGTTTTTTTTTTTTAATCCTTCTCTTTTCTTCCTTCAACAGCTGTTTTTTTCAAATCCTTCTCATTTCTTCCTTCAACAGCTGGTGCTTTTCAGTCTTCTTAAGGTCTTTGTCTCTATCCCTTACGTCATCCAGGAACTGACACATCGAGAATCTTGCTTTCGTTTTCTTTTTCTTCTTATCCACAAACACAATGCCTGGTCTTCTTGCCATCCAGTTATTATTATTATTATTATCATTATGGTAATCTATATAAAGAGCCACACTGAAAAAAGTCGAGATTTATACCACCAAAGGTGTCAGTGCAGGTCAAGATACAGCTAAAAAAGAATGAAAGAATAGAAAGTCAGCTAATTACGTAAGAAAAAACGTGTTAGCTGATCTTTTAAACTTATCAAGAGTCGGAGAAGTTACAATCTCTGAAGGCAATCTATTCCAAAGTCTACAAATAGCAGTAAAAAAGCATCTAGAAAACTGACTTGTAGACGATCGACTTACATCAAATGTCATTGAATTGAAGGTCATAGAACTAAACTTTAATTCTTGCAGGTTGATAAAAATTCTTGCAGGGTGATAAAAATTCTTACAGGTTGATAAAACTCAGGTAAAAACTTATAGAGGGGATTGAATTATCGGTTACATTATAAAGTGAAATTCCACAACGACTTCAAGTTCCCACTTTCTATCAACTCCTGGTTTCTAATCAGACTAACTTTCTTCAAGAATTGTCAATGCATATGGCGTGTCTTCCACGTCGTTCTTCTTCACGTCCATCCCATCCACCGCCTCCTCCACCTCACCTTCGTCTTCCT